GCATTCCCTACAATGGTGAAACTGTTCAATTGAAGGGGGTGTACTTTGCAGAGAACAGCTTCATATTTCACGACTCAGTGTGTCAGAGAGTAAATGTTGGCACAAGGCAGCAAGTGACTTCACAATCCAGCCCTGAGTTTTATAGGATAGTAGAATTCTGGCAGGTATTTGTCCCTGGAACACATGAAGAAAGAGAAAAAAACAGCTCCGTTATTTCACATCCGTCATTAGAAACCCACAGATGAGTCCTCCTTATACCTCTGTGTGGCAAGAGGAAAGGAAATGTTGTCCTAAGCGGATTTTTTTTTTTAAAAAAAGAAAGCTTTATATTTTGTAAACAAATCCATCTGGAATTACTAAATTTTTCCAAGTCAGACCAGGCGCTTGCCACCTCCACATCCCCCTGCTTGCCTGAAAAACGTCCAGCTGCAACCATTGATTTCCATTGCTCTGCAGTGTTGGGATATGATTACACACCACCTCTGGGCCAAAACAGAACACAATCACTCACTCTGAGTCACTATATAAGCTGAAGTATGTGATTTATTAAACCACAAAAAATAGGTTGTATTAACACTACGAGTCTAACTTGAAGCCACAGGAGGAGTAACATCCAGAGTTAAACTCTGCTTTCTAGATGGTGTGTTCTTCAGATTTGTAAGCTCTGAAATATCAGAATAGAGCAGAATAGCAGAATTGGAAGGGACCTTGGAGGTTTTCTAGTCCAACCCCCTGCTTAGGTAGGAAACCCTACACTACAAATGGTTATTCAATATCTTCTTTAAAACTTTCAGCGTTGGACCATTTACAACTTCTGGAGGCAAGTTGTTCCACTACTTAATTGTTCTAACTGTCAGGAAATTTCTCCTTAGTTCTAGGTTGGTCTTCTCTCCTTGATTAATTTCCACCCATTGCTTCTTGTCCTGNTTGGTATTTGATTTGCTTCCTTCTCCATCTTCCCAAAGTAATATCATGTTGGAATCATACCAGTCCTTTTGGTTTAGATTGGATTCCTCAGTTGCCAAAAAGGTTAAAAACAGATTTTTGGGAATCTAACATCTGCGAACCATATTTTGAGATCAACTTTCTAAACTTCCGTCCAGTTCAGCAAATCTACTCATATCCATGAATTTCATCCATCCGTCGCAGATAACAGGGTGATTGTTATGCGAAAACACAGGGAATGTCCCAGGTCTTTCTTACAGACTCAGCACACATCCTTCTTCTCCAACAGTATATGCTTTATTTTGCCTTACAATATGAAGTAAAGATCAAATATATCACGAGTGGAGGCGAAATGACACCATTATCTATAATTGCAGAAACAACAAACTTGAAAAATGGAAAGAGAGAAAAAAAGAGAAAGTCCAGAATTTTCCCAATTTCACTCTAAAGCTTTTCCTTTCCTTTCCTTTTTCTTTTTTTAATTGTGAAAATTGGGGTGGGGGAGGGAGAGATGATAAAATACTTTCATACATAAAGTGGTAGGGATCTAACATTGCCCTGTATCTGAAAATAGACTAGAATAAATTAGCATGTCTTCACACGGGCAAATATTCCATTTTAGAAGTCCATGAAAAGTTATACAAATAATGGATTAAATTTAGGAAATCATTTTTTCCTGAGCAAAATTTATATTGTCATAAATTTTCATAAAATTCTGCCTCCTACCCCAAAAAGCAAATCTTTTCCTGTTTGATGCATTAAATGACAAAGAGACCACCAAGACCCTCTGGCGACTCCTCAGAATTAAAATTATTTGCCAGCTTATGTTGAAAAATAATGCTATATTAAAATCCCATCAGACAACCTTGAGAAGTGATAGCAGTGGCAATGCATCTATTTTCATTTTTAATCAGAAAATATAAATAACTACTGCCCCTATAAACAAAGCTCTTTTGGGGGGTCTTCCAAAATTTTTTAAAGGGGTCCTGATGGGATTTTAATATAG